CAAGAAAAAGGAGTCCCTGCATGGGGTGACTCCCTCTCTGGATGTCACCCAGGAATATCTGGGTGTCTTCCTGAGGGTGGATGGAGATGTAGGAACTTGTGCTCCCCACAAGGAGCAGTGCTTTTGGGGAGGTGTCAGAGCGGGGACCAGGTCACCCCACAGGACCTGGGGTTGCCCACCCCTGTCTTGGGCATGGCAGAAATACGCTAAAAGAGGCTTTCTGCCCCAAAGGTACTGCTCAAACACTCAGGGCTGCTGCTAGGGGTGGGGAAGGAGGTTGGGGAGGAGGAAGGTATGTCAAGATTTTCTTGAGGAGGGGTAGTATTTGTTCCTGGGGGGCGTTTCGTTGTGGCAGAGGTATGGGAGAGCAGCCGGGGCTGGGGGAGAAGAGAGCAGCGGTGTCACAAATCTCCCCCCGGGCTGCTTCCCTGGCAGCGAATGCAGTTATGAGAGATGGAGTGGGTTTGCGAAACCACGTTTGATTGTACAGAAATTTGATTTGGGCAAGAAGAAAAAGCCCCAAACCACATAAACCCCCGGCGTGGTGTTAAGGAGCCTTGTCTCTGCATTTCAGCAGAAGAAAATTCTGTTTTTTTCCTTTCTAGATGTCTTTTTTCCCTTTATTTTGCAGTGTCATATGGTCTAAATCACATAAAACTTTCAAAGTCAACATTGGAACGAGGCGTTTTGATTTGTTTCCCAAAACAGTACATTTCAGTACGGCTGAAAGGATTTTTTTTTTTTCTTTTTCTTCTTTTTTTATAGAATCCCTTCCCAGGGAATTTTAGGTTTCGTTATGCTTTGAAACCCAGCCAAGCTCGTACACGGCAGAATCTCTTGCAAATTTGTCAAGAGAAACCGCTGTCTTCAGGCGAGCACTGATCTGAGGCCGGGGGTGGGAGGCAATATTGGGAATGACCCCCTCCCTGGCTTGGCAGCGGTGGGATGCGACGGTCCCCCATCCTGCGTGCATCACCTGTGCTTTTAGGGGCAGGGGCAGCTGGGGGTACTTGTAAGCCCTGCCTGGTCTCCCAGCAGCTGCAGATATCGCCCTGGTTTGGGGGTGATGGGATGTTCATAATAAATTTGTCCCTGGCCAAGTACTGGGCAGGGGGAGTGTTACAGGAGAGATGGCAGAGCCTGTGGGTCGTGACTGTCTCTGGGTACCAGTGGGAACGTGTCGGATAAAGGGAGGGAACAGAGGGCTGGAGGCTGCAGAAGAGGCTGGAGAATGGACAGAGAGGAGAGAGGAAGAGGGGGAGATGGACTACGTTAGGGCACTAAAGGATTTGCCCACTCTGGACGTCCCTGCTAGAGTTTTCCAGCCATTGTCTGATATAGCTGGTTAGGAAAACAGATCTCTTGAACCTGTTGTTGTTGTAGTGGCGTTGAAATGGGAGGTATTGATATTTGCAGATCTTTTTTCTAACTCCTCCCCCTCATGGGGGTGGATAGTGTCAGGGGCAGGGAAGGGAGTGCGATGCCGCGGGGACAACCGCCTCCAGCATCAGGGCTGATGTGCTTTTAGTGGTGCCACACTGATGCCAACAGCTGGGGAGGGACAGTGGGGACATCACAGTTAGGGACAAGCCAGAGCAGAGCTGGTACCGAAGGGCTGTTGGAAATTCAGAACGATGAAGCTGAGCCGTTCTTTACGTTTGGGTGTGCGCAGACACAGATGGCTTCATTTCTATGTGGGTACCCAGCGCAGGCAGGTTTGGTACACGCGTTCCTGCCTGCAGAGAGGTCCGGTGGTGCTCGGGGATGAATGCTCCCACGTGGCCAGGTTGGCGTGGGCGGCTGCGGTGCCGATCGGAGTATTGTATTTGTACATGGGTGCCGTTGGCACAGATGGCTCGGGGCTGTTTGACGAGTGGGTGGCCAGATGGACGCATGCGGATGCTGTCATGTGTTGGTGCCTAACGTGGTTGCGTGGATGCGTTTGAAGGCTCGGCCACTTGCTGCGGGGACGGCGGCAGGCGCCTGCAGCTCGCTCTCTGCTGTGTACATGGCACCGGGCTTTTCCCATGCATTTGGCCGTAGAGGAGGCCGTAAGGAGGCAATCACCAGCGTGACTTACCCAAGGGCTGTCGGTATCGTTGCACTCGCAGGATGGTAGCGAGATGCACCCCGGCTCGCCTGCGTGAGCTTTGCGTGAACGCGGGCACTCGGTCCCGTGTGGCTGGAGTACATTTTGCTTGCACGTCCTGCACACGCGTGTGGCATTTGCAAAAAACAAACCCTGTAAATCGCTACATGCACGTTTGCATATGCTCGTGGCTGTTTGCTGGGAGCTGCGTGTATCCAAATCTTTTCTGTGCTGATGGAAAGGATAAAGCCTTGAATCTCCCCAGTTGCCTGAAGTCAGTGGGGGTGAAAGACATTGACGACCCTGTTAAGCTTTTCTGTCTTGGGGCTGCGCCGGTGACAGGGACTCGGTGGCATCTCAGCCCTGGGCTTGTGCCTTGCTTTTGCAGGGGAGCTGCGTGTTCCCCTCTGCGGTCTCAGGGCAGCATCAACCCATGGCGATGGCTCTGAGCAGCTCGGGTCTACGCGGACGCATCGCTTCCTCTTTCAAATTGCCACGTGTTGCTCGGGAGAAGGGAATTTGGAGCATTTTGAAAGAGCTGTTAAATATCCAAGGGCTTCTGAGGGGCTGCAGCCTGCACCACTCTCCCCATGCCACTGCTGTGTGGCTGGCCAGTGCGGGGAAAGGCTCCGTGGCCCCCAAGAAATGGAGTGTGAGCAAGGGCGGCCTTGCAGGCGACTCATTGCTGGTGTGCAAGCGTGTATGTGCAGGGGATTCACTGCTGGCTGCTGCCCGCCAGCACCCCAACAGCCAGCGACCGATGGGCAAAGAGATGCTGGCTGCCTGGGATGGGGGGACACCTCTCTGCGTTGCCCACACGAGTCAAAGGAGGGGTGAAGGGGGGATTGAACCGGTTTGTTTTTCCTCCCCAGAAGAGACAGGCGGAGGAGACACCACATGTCGATGTGGGAGCCACGCAGCAGCCACCTGTATCTGGGCCGTTGGGGCGGGTGTTGTCCGTGGCTCCTGTGTTTTCTGTGGGTCCGTGGGGCTGGGGCGCACACCGCTCCCCTCCGGCCTCTTTGGCGGGGTGGAGGGGGTCGTGTGCGTGTGTGCCTGTATTCAGTGTGCTCCTTTGCACCCCTGTTTGTGTGCGTGTGTGCGCGCAGTCGTGGTTTTGTGTGTGCCTAACCTCCTCACGTGCGTGCCGCGCAGTCCGTGTGTGTCGGCGTGTGCCGCTTACCCGTGGGTGTGCAGTGGTGCGTGTTGCGGGGCTGAGCAGTGTATGTACACGTGGGTGTGCTCGTGGGTGTTTCCGTGTGCCTAGGTGTGTTGGGAAGGGCACGTCTGTCTTCTCCAGGGTGTTTGTGTGTGCGTTTACGGCACTGCAAAGGTTTCATGGTGTAGCCCAGCCCTCCCTAGAGCACGCCTGTAAGAACACGGAGAAGCCCAGTACAGCTCCTGCCCCTGCACACAGCCAAAACCGCTGCTCCCCAAGCCTCGGGGCAGGCTTCCTACCCGGGATGTGCTGGGTGAGAGGCTGTCCCGGCTGAACGTAGCTGACAATTCTCCATTGCAAATATCTCAGAGGGCCACCTCTCCTTGAGAAAGGCAGGTCTTGTACCTGGCATCTTTTCCCCTCTCACTCACTGTCCCCATCCCATCAGGACTGCCACCCTTGCCAGCAAGATGGCTTTCATGCCAGAGTTCCCTGCCATGGTCATTTGTGCCATTAAGGCAGTGCCACTTCAAAAAGGGGCCTGGCTTGGAGGAGCTGGCACTGCGAAGACATCCTCAGTGCAAGGAGGGATCCCCAGCCGCAGGGAGACGGCATTGCCCACATTTAAGGAGGTGACCCCAGGCAATCACACAAGAGGAAGGTGGTCACTGCCTGGCTGGGGTAGGGCAAGCTGGGGTGCTGGCTGCTCCCGACGAGCTGGGCATGCTGCCTGAGAGCTTCAGGGCAACTGTGAGGCTGCAGGGGCTGGTCCTCCATCAGCCTGATGCCTTCTGAAGGGGCAGAAGTACAATCTCAGCCCCGTTTCCAGCTCCTGCCTGCACCGGAGGGCTGCTGGAGGGCTAGGGACGAAGTAGGAGCCCAGCCCATAGTCCTAGGGATGGCATTTCCTTCTCCCTGGGATTCCCAAATTAAATCGAGGGTGGGTGCTTCACCAGGGTGGGGGGAGCAGTCAGGACACCGACCCCTCGCTGTCCCCCATTGCAGGCGGGAGCGTCGGCGTCGGCACCACATGTCGGTGTGGGAGCAGCGCACCAGCCAGCTGCGCCGGCACATGCAGATGTCCAGCCAGGAGGGCATCAACAAGGATGAGCCGCCCCTCATCAACCCCCACGCCAGCATCTTCCGCAGGAAAAAAACGGGGGACGGCGTCACCCTGGAGAAATGTGCCGAGGAGCAGGGTGGCAAGGGCGAGCGGCCGCTGGCTGAGGGGCCCAAGCAGCAGGCCCCGGGAGCCAACCCCGGCG